CTTCTGCCGGCTGTCGAGCATGGGCGCCACGATGGGGGCACCCACGTGTGCGTGCATGCACACCGGCTTTCCCCAGGACCGTACCAATCGCGAAACTACCCTCAGTGGCCCGCCATTGGCTATCATCGAATCATGGTAGGAGGAACGCCACGTTACCAGGAGACTGAAAGGGTAAAAGAAATTGCCGCGTTAGTCTCATGTAATGGATAGAATTTTTTAGTGTTACAGTTCTCTTAGCTTTGTTGGTGGATTCGCGATTGTTATTAAAGTGTTATTTTGTCGAAAAATTGAAAATACATACTTAACATGGATGAAGAAAAATTAAAGAAAAGAAGTTGAAGAAAAAATACTGTGAGAATATGTGAATCGATATGTGTTGTAATGATTAAGTAATGATATAAATAATAGTTTTTCTATGCATGTAAAAAATGAAAAAAAATGCATGTGATTATTGTATCTTATGATTGTTTTAAAAATTTATATGGGGAAGAAAATTTATACGGTGAAGGAAAATCGAATTTTATTCTATTTCTCAACTATACTCAAAAATTTTCTTTGGCTAAATTACTTTACTAAGCGATCAGTAAATTAACGAAATTAAATTTAATCATAAATAATTTTGGACTTAAATTTTAAGTTAAATTTTTTAATTGAAATTAACGATATTTCAAACTTTTAACAAAATACATGCAACGATGAATCACAAAGTTATTGCCGCGAATAATGCATGAGTATAGCCACGTGTATGCGTGAATTCACACCGGCTTTTTTCAGGACCGTATCTCTGTCCCGATATGCCATCCTCCCCTGCTAATTCCGCGTTTCAACAAAGAGAATCTCAAGAAGAATATGAGTTTCGATTCATGTGGTCAATGTTCTTTCGCGAAACAAAGCAATCTCGTTGTCAGTGTGTATACAATTCAAAAATGCATCTATAATGCAAATAGCTAGACAACAGTGATTTCGAACCTCAGAAAAAAACCGAAAGGGACGTTAACTTGTGAGTATCGATTATCGCGAATCTCTTTAAGTGCATTTCGAAATGTTTAAATGTATAATTGCCAATTGGATTGTTATTTGACCGATAATCTATTATTTATTATCGAGCGTTAATATCGATCATAGTGAAAGAAACGATCGTGATGCATAAATTTTGCGGGCAGCTTGATTATTCAAAAGTACGCTTCTACGCGTTACGTGAATATGTTTGTATGTACATTATGCATGTGCACATGTGTGTCCCGTATTTCAGGGTTACAGTACTGTATCGTGGCGATAACACATCTGTAACAGTATACGTATGAATTACTACATTTTCGTTCACGATGCGGTGAGTAATCGCAACTTCATCGGTTGCCTGTATCCTGTTCTAGGTGGCAGCAGGAAACGGAAACCTTTCTTTCGGGAAAATTCCATTGTGTATTGCATTTTGAATCCTTTCGTCAAAGGATCAATGACATATGTATAGATATATATACATAAATAAGTTCAATCTGTAAAATGAAATCGAATTATGAAAGAAAAGATAACTATTTCCAATGCAGCGTATCAAATAAATATTGTTTGATTCACGATCATAAATTTTAACTCAATGTTTATCCTAATTATTTCTTATCTAAATGGAATTTAATTCTTTTTCCATCATATTATATAATTACATTGAAATGTTATTTCCATTTAATGATACTTAAAGCATAGATAGCGTAAGCGTTATTTGTGATAAACGCCCCTCGAATGAACAACGTTAAAGATTGTGTCAGTTTTAAAGATTGTACATATCACATATGATTGAAAATATAAAAAATTCGTTCGATTACCAACATGAGGTAAATTTTGGATTGAAAAAAAGTATCCAAGAAGTGGTTTTTTTTGGTTACAATATCCCGTTGCTTCTTTGTGTCAATACAAAAGAAGGAAAGCGCCGTTAAAGACATTTTGAAATTATGCTTTATTTAAGTGCTCATTCTGTGTGTAAGTTCGTTTCTATACGAATCTCTCTTTATTTAACAAGGATATAATTGATCAGTTAACTTGTCAATGTGTAAAGAGCTCATCACAAGTATCGGATATTGGCAGTCTAGGATCCGACTCGTAAGACATTTTATTTGTAAGAAAAATCGCATTAATATTTCAAATGCATGGAAATTGTCAATAAAATGTGCTACTTTATTGCAAAAGCTAAAGCTATAACTACAATTTGTGAAGTTCTTGAGTTTCATATATTTTCACGTTCCATTGATAATGCAAATCCATTGTCACGTTCGTTACTTGTCGGTCTGACAATATATGTATGTATGTATATGTACGTATAACTATGTATGTGTATTATTGCCGACACGTTTTTAAAAGTGTAGTATATTTGAGTGCCACAGATAGTTTATTGATTTTTTAGAATGCCTTAACTATTAATTGAATGATAAAATATCTATCTATAAATATCTCAAGCACCCTTTGCTTGAAAAATAGTGAAATGTGCTAAATATTGAATAGTATCGATTCTGTGTTAAAAAGATATTAAGTGAAGATGTTAAAGTGATTTGGAAGTCGGTGAAACATCGACAATTTCCCAGTCTTTGTGTACTTAAGGTCGACAAGCCTCAGTTCGGTGTGTTCCGATCGAACCCGAGAGATTCGAAGGGAGGCACAAACAGGAATTGGCTGGTCGATGCACCTTAGCGTTCAAGGCATAGTGGAACGCAAGGGAAGTCGGCACATCTGCGCTGTACGTGAATTTTTTTCGAAACCACTGAGAAAATACATTACTCTTTCTCTCCCTTTGTTGTGCCCAACGTTGCGCCGAAACAGCTGATCGTTTGCCCCTTTAATTGCATCGCGACTGGGTCGACGCTGTGGTAAGTTATTGAAAATTTCAATAAAAATTCGTCATTATATTTGCTCGTTTAGTGGGAAAATATCGTATGGTAAAATATGTCTATGAATACGGTCGAGAATTTCATTCCTCGGTGTACGGTAAGTGCTACTACTTCAAGTATCTTTTGTAGGTTAGGAAGCGCCTTTCGTCTTTAAAGCCTCATACACAATGTTCCCTTGAATCATCTGCGTGCATGTACAGTGATAAGATACTATTCTATCTTATGAAAGACAATTTTAAATCTTCAAAATATATAACGTTGTTAATGTCTGTATACCATTCAAGACGCCATTGTGCAACTTATAAAATTCGATAAAACGTCCGAGTTTCCTGATTATATTAGTTTACATTTACATTTATTTTCATTTGCAGAGAATTAATGAAGTAAATTATATTCTTAAATCCAATATTATGTTTTTTGTTCGTAACTATATACAATTGAAAATGCAATGGCGGGAGTTGTAAGTAGAGTGATATGGTATATATATGCATATATATACTATATATATACATATATTAAAATAGTAATATAATTTAAATGGAATCAAAATTAAGTACAATAGAATCAAAAATGAGTGTAAATTAATGTTAAATTAATGTAAATTAATGATTAAAAGCTATAAATATAATTTAAAATATACAATCTACGTTCAAAAATTCTAATAATGGTGTTACTGCGTATGATTGAATTTTTTGTAAATAATTTGTTTGTATAAAAGAAAAATTTAGTACCTGTTTTGCATTGTAAGAAAAGTATCTTGAAAAATGTATAAATTGATTTTTCGGTGTTTGAACACAAATAAATATATATTCGAATGAATTTATAACGCGCGCTTCTTTGAACGACGCGACGCCATGACACTGCAGCTGGCGAATACAAGCGGGCGGGGGAAACGAAAGACTTGCATCCTCCATAACGGCTTGGAGTTCTGTGACGTCTTCAATGGCTGCCGCTGTATTGTCTACATACGTAACGGAGCGCGGTACTCTCATCCACCGCGTTCCGTGGTGGTTTACGACGTAGTGTTTACTGTTTATCGTTAGAATACTCTATCAGGCTGTGGGCCGGCAAACCATGGGTTCGAAGAAACATAAAAAGCACAAGCGCGAAAGACACGAAGGTGAGAACCTGGGTTGTATTCGATGTATCTCGAACGTCTTATCGTTTTTGGTTACTTTTAATTGTTCTATAACATCATCTCGGCATCAAAGGTTATCGCGTTATTATATGTCGCGTTTTGAATAGCATATCATGCTGTATATCGTGTTTTCGAACAAAATACCGGTCGCGCCACAAATTGAAAAGGCATTTCGACTGTCGTTTCGATGCGATATTTGTTTTTATGTTTGTTGATCGAATCGCACTCGCGTTGACAGCTCGTTGCTATGTTATCAGGTGTTCTCGTTAAATAATATATTTCTGAGTTCTCACTTGATGCACTATACATTGAAGTAACGGGTGTCTTTGGTTATTCAAATACTCCGTTTATCCTCATTTTATTTTATTTTTGTATTCGTTTTTATTGCTCGATTTTGACATTATTGGATTATCTCACTATAATTCTTTAGTATTGACATTTATGTCAATCACATGAGGATTCAAATGAAAAAATTATCCACAAAATATGAATATGCACAAAATATAGATTTTGAAAGATTTACAGAGTACAAGGACCTTAATGGTTGAAATTTTTAAAAATTTTCATTGGAATCCTTTTTGTACTCATAGTTTAATAATGCACAGGAATTTTGACTACGTTTTCACCACGGACAAACTGAGAGTGAGGTTGGAGTAGAAGTGAGGTGGATTCAAAAGTATAAACGAAGGTTCCACAGCAACAGG